GTGTTAAGCCTGGAGCTACTAATAAACAGAGGTACAGCCAGTATTGTTTATTACAGACTCATTTTGAAATCTGGGTCAATTACAAATTTTGATACTGAATAAGTTAAATTGGCGACTGGGTGGTTTTTTTTTGGTGCAATCAATAAAATCGAAGAATGCTAGCAAGATAGCTAAGAATTTGGTTGACTGGAAACTACTAATTGGCTTCATATGGACTCAAAATGGGGCAAATTCCTGATATGTAATATCTGACATAGCAAAAATTTGCCAAGATGCACATTTCATCTCAATTCACCATAAAATTTTTTGTTTTTATTTCCTTCAGAAAAAGATTCTCTACCATTTCAAAAGAATTTTTTTTTCTGAAGATTCTTTGACACTGTGGACACTTAACCCTTTCAGGGGTTCCGTCCCGTAGATCTATGGGCTTTACGTTCAGGTCCAAACCGTAGATCTACGCCCATGAGCTCAGCTCAACTCATGTTAAACTGTGATGTGGTACATTTGGGGCCTAATATGAGAGAATACATACTATGTTGGTATTGACTGTGCATCCCACATAAACACATCCCTGCAGCACACTGTGTTATAATGAGAGGAAAAAAATGAAATCACGATTTTTTTCGATTAAAAACAGCAACTTTGCAGTGTTTTTTCGTATGTTTTTTTTAGTTGTATTTGCGATTTCTTGGTTCATTGGATAGAATGGAAGACATTATTACAGAAATAGAGATGATTTTGATTGGTTTTAGCATGGAAATGGCTTGAACTGAGCTCAAAGTTAGCAAAGATGTTAAATTTTTGCCGATATTCAAGAGTAAAAAACGACCTCACACGTCTAATACACGCCAGCGGTGGGTCTAATATACATTCAAAAAATATGGTGATGATATTTATACAATTATTACAGTATTGCATAACAGTAAATCTTCTATTTTTTGGTGTGAATAAAAATTCATTATGTGAATAAAAAATCAAAATGGAATTTATTTGTAAAGCCTCAAAACATAACTAATGAACAGAGGAAATGTTAGTTTAGTGCCAGGAATGCCTAAAATTGTTCATTCTGGACCCTATTTTGAAATTGGAATATTTTGAACTTTGTGTTAAATTGGCCAAATTAAAAAATTTCCGATCACTTTATTTTGTAGTTGAAACCCGTTTTTACTTGGCGATTTCTTGTGCTCAATCAATAGAAAATAGAAGTAATAACTAGTGAAATAGCTAAGAAAATTTGGTTGATTGGAATAATGTAATTGGCCTAAAATGGGAAATCAAATTCGGCAAAATCGCCGATTCGTAAATATCTCTGACACATCAAAATTCGCAAGAGCATAATTTCGTCAATTTTCCACCAAATTTCGTACTTTTTGTTTTATTACCTTCACAAAAAGATTCTCTATGATTTCATAAGAAAAAATAACAAATTTTTTTTTTTGAAAATTCTTGGACACTGGTGCGTGACTCCAGATTTGGGCCTTGGACCCTGAAAGGGTTAAGATCAGGAATCTGGACACTCAAGAAGTTAAAGATCTATTCACCTTCATTCTTGACTACACACATTCTTTAATAAGCAGTCACCTCTCTGGATCCTCACTTCTTATACATACAATCCTGTAATGAAAATTATAATTTATTCACAAAAGTCTATTTATATCATTTCTCTTAAAAACCTTAAACTTTTACTGCTCACAGGGAAGAAATGAGGGTGAGAGTTGGTAAGCAGAGAGGAAGAGACAAGAGTGAGACTTGGTAAAGAGAGAGGAAGAGATGAGGGCATGAGAATACGAGGGAGAGATCAGAGGGAAAATATACGGAGAGACTTAGGATGGGTGTGCAGGTAGGATTACAGGCTGATCAAAGGTAAGGTACATGGAATGACTTAGGATGACAGAGGGCAGGATTACAGGCCGTTAGTGGTCTCCTGGTTATCCAGTAAGATCCGGCAGTCTTACATGCTGTGAGGATCGCTGTGCTGCTGCTTGTCTGCTAACATAATGTGGGTCATCCCTGAGCATTATGAAGAGAGTGTCAGTCCCCGG